TTTATTGCTGCCAACTTTTTGGATAGAGTTCCCTCTGCTGGAATCTTTTAAGAGAAAAAAAAAAGTATTAAAGACAATATTTAAAATATTACTTCAAATTAATATTTTAACAAGTCTAGATATTCAACTCCAGTACACTGTGATCAAAAACATTCTAGGGAAATAAATAAAAAATAATCATCCTAATGTTATATAAAATGAAGCTTGTGGCTTAGGATAAGCTTGTCCAACGACAGCATCGTACGCAGATTTAACAAAAACTGAGACAAAAGTTAAGATACTGGGCTCTTAAACTGTGTCAGATGACTCAAACAGGGAGGATGCTAGGAAGAGACACTGATAGTGAAAGATACATGAAAAATTTAAGGAAAAATAACTTTATAAATTAACATTTTATCGTGTATTCTGATACAATGTATTTTATCTATTTAATTATTTATTTATTTATTTTGAGATGGAGTCGTGCTCTGGCACCCAGGTTGGAGTGAGGTGGAGCGATCTCAGCTCACTGCAACCTCCGCCTCCCAGGTTCAAATGATTCTCCTGCCTCAGCCTCCCAAGTAGCTGGGATTACAGGCGCGTGCCACCATGCCCAGCTAATTTTTGTATTTTTAGTAGAGACAGGATTTCACCACGTTGGTCAGACCGCTCTCGAACTCATGACCTCATGATCTAACCTCCTCAGCCTCCAAAAGTGCTGGGATTACAGGCATGAGCCACTGCGCCTGGCTCAAATACAATTTTTGGTATGTCTAACTAAACTGACGAATAACGTAAGACAACATAAAAGATACCAACCCTGCAAGTTCACAATCTAGGAGCGTCTCGAAGGTAAATGCCATTTAGGGCAGTTATGATAAATCTTTTCTGGAAAACTTATTTTCCTTCTCAGTAACCTGATAGTTGACATAGTAAAACTAAGAAATTTTAACTCTTTCTTCTGTTTGCAGTTTGTCTTGCTCAAATTGCTAACCTATTCAAGCTCTCAAATCTCAAAAAAAAAAAAAATAATACAAGACATAGAAATGTCCAAACAAGGCTGGGTGCAGTGGCTCACACCTGTAATCCCAGCACTTTGGGAGGCCAAGGTGGGTGGATCATGAGGCCAGGAGTTCAATACCAGCCTGAACAAAATGGTAAAACAAGATGGTGAAACCCCATCTGTAGTAAAAATACAAAAATTAGCTGAGTACAGTGGCAGGCGCCTGTAATCCCAGCTACTTGGGAAGCTGAGGCAGGAGAATCGCTCGAACCCGGAAGATGGAGGTTGAAGTGAGCCGAGATTGCGCCACGCACTCCAGCCTAGGCGATAGAGTGAGATTCTGTCTCAAACAAACAAAAAAAAGTCCAAATGAATAATCAACAAACATCTGAATGAATAATCAACATGTGAATGACATCATCAAAACACATTTACTGGGTGCCTTCCACACAGGGTCTACATCCCGTTATTTGTTTGCTTTTGTATCTTTTTTTTTTTTTTTGAGATGGAGTTTCGCTCTTGTTACCCAGGCTGGAGTGTAATGGCGCGATCTCGGCTCACCGCAACCTCCGCCTCCTGGGTTCAGGCAATTCTCCTGCCTCAACCTCCTGAGGAGCTGGGATTATAGGCACGTGCCACCATGCCCAGCTTATGTTTCTTATTTTTAGTAGAGATGGGGTTTCACCATGTTGACCAGGATGGTCTCGATCTCTTGACCTCGTGATCCACCCGCCTCGGCCTCCCAAAGTGCTGGGATTACAGGCTTGAGCCACCGCGCCCGGCCCCTGCTTTTGTATCTTTTTGTTTGTTAGTTTTTGAGACAGAGCCTCACTCTGTCACCCAGGCTGGAGTGTAGTGGCATAATCTCAGCTCGCTGCAACCTTCGCCTTCCAGATTCAAGTGATTCTACCACCTCAGCCTCCCGAGTAGCTGGGATTACAGATGCCCGCTCCGATGCCCAGCTAGTTTTTGTATTTTTAGTAGAAACGGCGTTTTGCCATGTTGGCCAGGCAGGCCTTAAACTTCTGAACTCAAGTGATTTGCCTTGGCCTCCCAAAGTGCTGCGTTACAGGCATGAGCCACTGCACGTGGCCTACATCCAGTCATTGAAGATATTAATGAATAAGTATAACACAAGGCAATAAAGTAAAAGAATAATGTAAAGGGAAAAATATCATTTAATGATATAAAGTATCAGAAAACCTTGAAGGGACACTTTAGACGCATAGTGAAAATAGACAGTACTTTCATAGACAAAAATGGTACCTTAAGGAGGGATTCTATGCAAAACAAATGACTGGCAAAGGGACAAAGCTGAGAAAACCCATGTGTGGGGGAACATAGGAGGGGCGGGGCCACACTGGAGAACTGTCAGGCTAAGAATTAAGATGTATTTCACTGACAGTGAGAATAATTAACACAATGCACAGGTGCTGGTAACCCAAGGAACAGTAAGACAGAGTATCTGTAATCACAGCTTACAGTCTGGTGGAGGAGGCAAACAGCAATCTCAGTGGAGTGTACTAAGTACATTAATGAAGGATGGGTGCTGCAGAACTCACAGCCGGGACACACTGGTAGCCTAGAGTCTGGGGAGAATCAGGGCAAGCTCCCCAAAGGGGAGAAGGCAATAGCAGGCCCAGTGAGGTATGTGTAGGGGAACCTGAGGGGGCTGTGTGTGGAGGGGGTGACATTAATGCAGGGTGGGGGAAAGGGCAAAGGTTCCGGGAAGAAGAGCTTCAGAAAGACTGAGTTGACAGTGTTTTGTGGGACAAATTAGAGGAAGATTGAAGGTAGGAACTATAATAGGTCTCCGTGACTATTCTGACAGGATGTAATGAGAACTCAGGTAGGATAAGGAAAACAGAAAGAAATGACTCATATTAGGATGAAATCACAGTTGAAAAACAGGCAGGGATGGCAAACACTAGCATGAGTGCGCCAATGAAGAGTCAAAGGCAACCACAAAACCTGCAGCCTGGGTGCCACTAAATACTGTACAAAAATCAGTAGGCAGCATAGGGTTGGGGTGAGAATAGATGGAGGTAAGCAGACATACTGAAATCATGATGCTAGCAAGACACCCAGGATAATGTGTCACCCAAAGGTCTGGTACGGGGAAATGGAACTCAAAAGAGCAGGCAAAAAGACATGATAAAAGTGGGAAATAAACACCCTAACAGAAATTACAGGAACGGTCAAAACTTTGGGTACTGTCCACTTGCACGGAAGTGGGCAGTTTTGCCTTCTCTAACATTTGGCAATGCCTGAAGGTATTTTCATTGTTCAACTGACGTGAAGGGGGTGCTACTAGCATCTAGTGGGTAAAGACCATGGATGTTACCAAACATGCTATAATACACACGGCATCATCCAACAGCAAAGAATTATCCAGCCCAAAACGTCAACTGTATGGAGGTTGAGAAATTCTATTCTAGAGAATCACATGAGAAGGAGCAACTAGAAACATGGAATAGGCCAGGCACGATGGCTCACACCTGTAATCCCAGCACTTTGGAAGGCTGAGGCAGGCAAATCACCTGAGGTCGGGAGTTTGAGACCAGCCTGGACAACATGGTGAGACCCTGTCTCGACTAAAAATACAAAAATTAGCTGGGCATGATAGTGCACGCCTGTAATCCCAGCTACTTAGGAGGCTGAGGCATGAGAACTGCTTGAAGCCAGGAGGCAAAGGGTACAGGGAACCCAGATCACACCACAGTACTCCAGCCTGGGTAACAGACAGAGCGAGACTCTGTCTCAAAATAATAATAATAATAATAATAAACATTTCCTATATTCTGACATACATTAATTATGTAATGGTGTCTAAAAACACAGGCTATGGGATGTCAACTATGCCTATGCAGTTAAAAAAAAATGTATGGGAAAATGAAGGATAAATGATACTTATTTCCTGCTCCAAAGAATGTGGCTATAAGTGGTCCAGAGTGCTGAGCTGATAAAATCCAACTGACTTCTATAAAGTTTTAACATTAAATTGACTTAAATACTTTGTCTGTGCTCGGAGAACAAGGACTGTTTGCAGCAATCATACCCATCTCCCATGCTAAATGCGTATTATAGGACATAGGATGAGAATGCCTAGGATTCCAGCAATGCTAATCAGTATTAACTTTTTAGCCTATTCTGTTGACACAGCACATAAGTCACCCATCCACCCTCCAAAATACATTGCAGACTTTCATAGCAAAAGTATCATTTCATTAGGTAAATTCACTACATTATTTAACAAAGTTTAAGAGTCAGCAACAGGTAATTAGAGCAACTCTATCGATTCAAAAGATTAATGTGAAAAAAAAAACACAATTCAAGCTCATATTAGTATCCATTGGATGTACAATGCTTTGCTTTCAATCTTTTATAACCTTTATCACATGTAAATTAAGGGTAGACTTAGAACCTCCATCTCACTAACGGCAAGAAATTAATCTGATTTAAATGCAACAAATTATTTTAAGGGGGAATACAACATACCAGAGAACGAAATCGTACAGATTCTATTGGTCCATACTCTTTAAAAAACGACTTCAGCTTCTAAAATTAAAAAAAAAAAAAAATACATGTTAGCTCACCCTCAGAACATCAAATAAGTGCTACAAAAAGAAGTAAAAGTGTCTGATAATCTTCACTGCCGGTTTTGTTTTGTTTTGTTCTGAGATGGAGTCTTGCTCTTTCACCCAGGCTGGAGTTCAGTGGCTCAATCTGGGCTTACTGCAACCTCTGCCCGACTGGTTCAAGTGATTCTCCTGCCTCAGTCTCCCAAGTACCTGGGATTACAGGAGCGCACCATCACGCCCGGCTAATTTTTGTGCTTTTGGTAGAGATGGGGTTTCGCCATGTTGGGCAGTCTGGTCTTCAACTCCAGATATCAGGTGATCCACCTGCCTCAACCTCTCAAAGTGCTACGATTACAGGCACGAGCCACCACACCTGGCCTACTTTTTAAAGAACATTTCAGGAAAAGCAGGTGACTATTCAGCTGGATGATCAAAAAACTTTTACTGAAACTTGTGAGACTCTGTCTCAAAAACAAAAACAAAAAAAACACAATTCAAGCTCATATTAGTATCCATTGGATGTATAATGCTTTGCTTTCAATCTTTTATAACCTTTATCACATGTAAATTAAGGGTAGACTTATAACTTCCATAGATTCTCTCATCTTTTCACATTGGTTTAAACCAGAAATAAACTTGAATAATTTTTTTTTTTTTTGAGATGGAGTCTCACTCACTCTGTCAACTAGGCTGGAGTGCAGTGGCATGATCTTGGTTCCTGCAACCTCCCCTTCCTGGGTTCAAGTGATTCTCCTGCCTCAGCCTCCAAAGTAGCCGGGATTACAGGCATGTGTCACCAAACCCAGCTAACGTTTTGAACTTTTAGTAGAGAATGGGTTTCACCATGTTGGCCAGGCAGGTCTCGAACTCCCAGTCTCAAGGGATCCACCTGCCTTGGCCTTGCAGAGTACTGGGATTACAGACGTTAGCCACCATGGCTAGCCTCAAAAAGGAGTTTTCTACTGTTTTTAATGAAGTAGAATTTAACTTGTCCTTCAAAATATGAGCAGGATGCTGAGCCAAGGATTGCAACAGTTACTACCACATGAACAAGCAGAAGCCAAGGGCAGGTTTTGCTTCAGTGATCCTCATGCCACGGAAGAAACTCAGGATATCTTCATTCTTTAAACAACACATATTTACTATGCACAAGGCACCATTTCAGGTGTCAGAGATAGAGCGACGAAAAAAGATCGGGCCCAATGGCTCATGCCTGAAGTCCCAGCACCATGGGAGGCCGAGGAGGGCAGATCGCTTGAGCCCAGGAGTTTAAGACCAGCCTAGGCAACATAGCAAGTACCCTGTCTCCACCAAAAAAAAATACAAAAATTAGCTAGGCATGGTGGTATGCACCTGTAGTCCCAGCTACTCGGGAGGCTGAGGCAGCAAGACCACTTGAGTCCAGGAGTTTGAGGCTGCTGTGAGCAATGATCATGCAACTATACTCCAGCCTATGTGACAGTGAGAACCTGTCTTGAAAAAGAAAAGAAAAAAGAAAAATATCTTTAAACATATGGAGCTTATGTTATATGGAGTGGCATATAACAGGAGATAAGGCTGAAAAGAAAAAAACCAGGCAGAAGGTCACTGCAATATTCAAATATAATCTACAAAAGCCTGAATGAGGTAGGGCAGAGACTACAGGAATGGAAAGGAGGGGGCGGATATTGGAATCCATTTATATTAGCATGATTTCTGTAATTACTTACAATGAAGTTATATCCATGACTTATTATTGAATGTTTATTCAACAAAGGAAGACTAAACAAAGTTATTATCTTCTCTGAACTTTTACAATATACAAACTCACCTTCTTATCACATGTAACAGGCAAATTTCCGACAAACACAGTTCTCTCATTCTTTAATCTCTCTTCTTCTTGGTTGATTTGAATTTTTCTTCTTTGACTTACAACTGTGTCATCTACATCAAGTACTTTTCTATCTGCTCCTTTAACACCAGATTGAGACTTTTTCCTTTTCTGCCCTTGTTTCTGGTGAATTTCTTCTTCTAAATCAGCACTCAATAGAGCACTTTCCCTTTTTAAGACAAAAAATAAAACAAAAGAAGCTGTAAAAGTAATGCAAGTTAGGTCTAGTATTTGACAAAGCACAGCTTTGATTAGAAATATTTCCCAATGTCTCCTGGATTTTCCTAATTTACCACTCACAAATACATCAAAATTTTTGGAGCAGCATTATCTAGATACTGACTGGTATTTTTAGAAAAAAAATTCAGCCGGGTGCGGTGGCGCAAGCCTGTAATCCCAGCACTTTGGGAGGCCGAGGCAGGTGGATCACGAGGTCAAGAGATCGAGACCATCCTGGTCAACATGGTGAAACCCCAACCCTGCCTCTACTAAAAATACAAAAAATTAGCTGGCCATGGTGGCGCGTGTCTGTAACCCCAGCTACTCAGGAGGCTGAAGCAGGAGAATTGCCTGAACCCAGGAGGCGGAGGTTGCAGTGAGCCGAGATCACGCCATTGCACTACAGCCTGGGTAACAAGAGCGAAACTCCGTCTCAAAAAAAAAAAAAAAAAAAAAAAAAGAAAAAAGTTCAATCCATCCACCTCAGCCTCCCAAGTAGCTGGGACCACAGGCGCATGCTGCCATGCCGGGCTAATTTTATTTTATTTTATTTTATTTTTGAGACGGAGTTTCACTCTGTCACCTAGGCTGCAGTGCAATGGAACAATCTCAGCTCATTGCAACCTCTGCCTCCTGAGTTCAAGTGATTCTCCTGCCTCAGTCTCCCAAGTAGCTGGGATTACAGGCGCCCACCACCATGCCTGGCTAATTTTTTTCGTTTTTAGTAGAGATGGGGTTTCACCATGTTGGCCAGGCTGATCTGGAACTCCTGACCTCAAGTAATCTGCCAGCCTCGGCCTCCCAAAGTGCTGGGACTACAGATATGAGCCACCGCCCCCAGCCTTTTATATTTTTTTGTAGAGACAGGGTTTTGCTATGTTGCCCAGGCTGGTCTTGAACTCGTGACTCAAGCCACTGGCCCACCTCAGCCTCCCAAAGTGCTAGGATTACAGGTGTGAGCCACTGCACCCAGCCAGAAAAAGTAAAGCTCAATTTCTGAACACATTAAAACTGCCAGGCAACGGCAGCAGCAAGTTCGTCTAAACAAAAGCTGATTCACTTAGAGCTCTTGGAGATTCAGTTTACACTCTATCAATGTCTAATTTCATTTTCTACTCTAGACCTTTAGGGACACTATCACACTTCCTGAGAATCTAAAACGGTTAATATGCCAGCAGGAGACTTACTTTGTACAAGTAATATGACCGACAGGAAAAACCAGATTCCCTCCTTCTAATACTCCTGTTAACACTTAAAGGACTCTTACCAAAAGTAAATTGTGAAATGGTAAGCACAATATAAAGTATTGCTGGATACGGTAAGCAAGGTCTGAGCATCAATCAGAAAGAGAACTAAAGGACATTAAGGAGTGAGGGAAGAGAAGAGCAAATAATCATAAAAATGACTCACTCATCAGCAAATACTTACTGGGTGCCTACTCAGTTCTAGGGTCTGAGGATACAAAGATAAAGAAACAATCAAAGGCCTCCAATAGTCCAGTGAAGAGACAGAGCCAGTTCACAATAAAATGGTAGCAGCTATAATACACAGTATGCAAACATAACATAAAGAAGAAAAGCTTCTCAGAGGAGGAAATCAGTGTCTGGCACATAGTCCAGTAAAAGTGGACTGTTACTACTCCTCCCCTGAGGACAGGGTCCATGTCTGGTGTTTTCCTCACTACAGTATATAAAGTACCTAGCAGGAGTGAAAAGAAATGAGACCGTATGGTAAGGTGGGAACCAGGTCAGGAAGGACCTTCAATATTACACAAAAGTGCTTAGATTTTATCCTACTGGAGACGAGGAAACACTGACAACTACGAGAGCACCTATGAAAGATCATCTGGGCAAAAGAGTGGAAGATAATTAGAAGGGGTATAAAGTTGGAGAAGAGAGACCAGTAAGGAGATGGTTACAACAGTGTGTATCTGAGAAGACAACAGACGGACCAGAGCAGGGAAGGAAGTGAAGAGGAAGACAGATTAAAGAGATAAGTAAAAAACAGCATCATCAGGACTTGGCAACTGATTAGCTAAGCAAGGAAAGGAAAGAGGACAGGATGGCTGTCAGGCCACTAACTTAGCGTTCATGCCAAGGACAGGTCTGATGAGAATGAAGAGCTCACCCTGGAGCATTCTTACCTGGAGGTAAATATGGAATAGAGGTGCAAATGTCAGTAGGCAAACAAACATACAAGTCTGGAGATCAGGAGAGTGATCAGGGCAGCCATAAAAGGTACTGCCCACAACACAGGGTGACAAAGGGTCATGAGAATATGACCAAGAATAAGACCCCTTGAGGGAAATGCACATTTAAAGAGTAGTCACAGGAAAAGATACAATAACATCAAGAAAGAATTGGCAAGAGGAGGATCAGAAGATACTTCTCTCAGAGAATCTAGTAGCTTCAACAAAAAAAGCAGCCAAAGAAATGTAAGAGGACTCATAAGACAAAAGGGGTGCTGCTCATTAGATATGTCAGAGAGGTCAGGGTAGCCTCAGTGAACACTGCTTCAGAGGGACAGTAAGGACGGAGAATAAAACACAGACTGCAAGTGCATGGCAGGGCGAATACATCAAAAAAAGGGAGAAATACAAGACTTTTTCTAAAAGCTAGACTATGAAGGGAAGGATTGTGGGAACGGCAGCAAACAGACACTCAATTATATTGATTTTTTTGACAGCTGGGGAGGAAATGTCCTTTTTAAAGATTAGAATCTTGGGCCGGGCGCAGTGGCTCAAGCCTGTAATCCCAGTACTTTGGGAGGCTGAGGCGGGTGGATCACGAGGTCGAGAGATCAAGACCATCCTGGTCAACATGGTGAAACCCTGTCTCTACTAAAAATACAAAAAATTAGCTGGGCATGGTGGCACGTGCCTGTAATCCCAGCTACTCAGGAGGCTGAGGCAGGAGAATTGTCTGAACCCAGGAGGCGGAGGTTGCGGTGAGCCGAGATCGCGCCATTGCACTCCAGCCTGGGTAACAAGAGCGAAACTCCGTCTCGAAAAAAAAAAAAAAAGAATCTTGAGGATGTCCATATAGTGGAAAGAGGGATAAGGGCCGGGCACAGTGGCTCATGCCTGTAATCCCAGCACTTTGGAAGGCCAAGGCGGCTGGATCACCTGAAATCAGGAGTTTGAGACCAGCCTGGCCAACATGGTGAAACCTCATCTCTACTAAAAAAATAAAAATACTAAAATTAGCTGAGCATGGTGGCAGGCGCCTGTTATTCCAGCTACTCAGGAGGCTGAGGCAGGAGAATAGCTTGAACCTGTAAGGCAGAAGTTGCAGTGAGCTGAGATTGCACCATTGCACTCCAGCCTGGGTGACAAGAGCCAAACTCCATCTCAAAAAAAAAAAAAGGGATAAGGGAAAGATAAAGTGGATAGATCTAACGGCACAATCCCTAAGGAAGCAGAAGAGCAGGCACGTGGTACACAGTATCCAAGTGGTTGAGTTAATCTTGGACAAGAAGGAAGACATCTTTCTCTAACAGAGGAGAAGAAATAAGGCTATACAGATGCATTAAGCTTAAATAGGAGGACGAAAAGCAGTTCCCAATTGTTAGTGATTAACCAGCTCCAGAACTGGTAAAAATGTCTTCAGTTGAAAGGAGAAAAGGGAAAAGCAAATAAAGGGCTTGAGGAGAGTGGTAAACAAGAGAGGAATGAAGACTTAACTAGGTACATGTGACGGTATCACTGTTTATAACTTGATTCAAATATACTGTTAAACAGTGTTACGTCAGCCAGATATGGTGGGTCATGCCTGTAATCCTAGCACTTTGGGAGGCAGACTCAGGAGGATGGTTTGAGCCCAGGAGTTCAGGACCAGCCTGGGCAACACACTAAGACCCTGTCTCTGTTGTTTGAAGAAAAAAAAATACTGGCTGGATCACTTGAGTCGAGGGGTTTTCGACCAGCCTGGGTGACATGGCAAAGTCCCGTCTCTACAAAAAATACAACGATTAGCTGGGGGTGGTGGTGCATGCCTGTAGTCCAAGCTACTCAGGAGGCTGAGGTGGGAGGCCAGATTGAGTTCCGGAGGCAAAGGTTGCAGTGAGCCCCGATCACACCACTCCACTCCAGCCTGGGCGATAGAGCCAGACCGTGTCTCACACACAAAAAAGAAAATGTTAATGGGGGAAATTTGGTCTCTGAATAAGTTTCAAATCATCAAACTCTTCTGTCTCTGTCCTGGGATAAAACAAACAAACAAAAGAAACATGACAATAGTAAACAAAATACACATACGTTTTAAAAAGCAAACCAAGCCGGGCGCGGTGGCTCAAGCCTGTAATCCCAGCACTTTGGGAGGCTGAGGCGGGTGGATCACGAGGTCAGGAGATCGAGACCATCCTGGTCAACATGGTGAAACCCTGTCTCTACTTAAAATACAAAAAATTAGCTGGGCATGGTGGTGCGTGCCTGTAATCTCAGCTACTCAGGAGGCTGAGGCAGGAGAATTGCCTGAACCCAGGAGGCGGAGGTTGCGGTGAGCCGAGATCGTGCCATTGCACTCCAGCCTGGGTAACAAGAGCAAAACTCGGTCTCAAAAAATAAAAAAAAATAAAAAAATAAAAAAATAAAAAAAAAAAAAGCAAACCAAACTCTTCTTTTATACACATGCTGAAATATTTACAGATGAAATCTAAGTTTTCATTTTGCTTCCAAATAATGGGAGGTGGTAGGCGCCGTGGCTCATGCCTGTAATCCAAACACTTTGGGAGCTCAAGGCGGGCAGATAGCTTGAGGTCAGGAGCTCGAGACCAGCCTGGCCAACAAGGTGAAACCCCATCTCGACTAAAAATACAAAAATTAGCCAGGAGTGGTGGCCCGCGCCTGTAGTCCCAGTTACTCGGAGGCCCTTCCTGGAAAGCAGAGGTTGCAGTGAGCCGAGACGCCATGGCACTCCACTGCAGCCTGAGCATTGCAGCAAGACTCATCTCAAAACAAACAAAAACAAATAATGAGAGGGTATGTGAGTGGGGTAAAAATAAAAATGGCTGACCAAATATGAGTAATTTTTTTTTTTTTTTTTTTTTTTTGAGACGGAGTTTCGCTCTTGTTACCCAGGCTGGAGTGCAATGGCGCGATCTCGGCTCACCGCAACCTCCGCCTCCCGGGTTCAGGCAATTCTCCTGCCTCAGCCTCCGGAGTAGCTGGGATTACAGGCACGCGCCACCATGCCCAGCTAATTTTTTGTATTTTTAGTAGAGACGGGGTTTCACCATGTTGACCAGGATGGTCTCGATCTCTCGACCTCGTGATCCACCCGCCTCGGCCTCCCAAAGTGCTGGGATTACAAGCTTGAGCCACCGCGCCCGGCCTTTTTTTTTTTTTTTTTTTTTAAACAGGGTTTCACTATGTTGGTCAGGCTGGTCTTGAACTCCCGACCTCAGGTGATCCGCCCGCCTTGGCCCCCAAAGTACTTGGATTACAAGCTTGAGCCACCGCGCCTGGCCTCAAATATGAGTAATTGCTGACGCTGAGTACATGGGGTTCCTTAGCCTTTTCAACTCTTCTGGATGTACTAGATTGTCCATGAAGTTTTGAAAGTAACAGAAATATGAAATGAGAAAACTAAGACGAATATTGCAGGTATAGGAATGTTGACTTCTTTACTATTTAGTTTAACATCAAGTAAGAGAATTGTACCAACCTGTTTGCCAACCTTTTTTCTGCATTAGTGTGTTTCTTCTTCGCTTTCACTTTTTTTGCAGATTCCTGCAAAAGTGGTCTTTCAATCGGGGAAGCACTTTCTTCCTCCTCATTCCGTTTCCTTTTTTTGGTGGTTTCCTTTTCAAAAGTGTGAAGTTGTATTTGAGACCCTATCCTTTTAGAATTCTGACCCTAAGCCATAAAATAGTGGACTTTCTTTTTTTTTTTTGAGACGGAGTTTCACTCTTGTTACCCAGGCTGGGGTGCAATGGCGCGATCTCGGCTCACCGCAACCTCCGCCTCCTGGGTTCAGGCAATTCTCCTGCCTCAGCCTCCTGAGTAGCTGGGATTACAGGCACGCGCCACCATGCCCAGCTAATGTTTTTTTTTTTTTGTATTTTTAGTAGAGACGGGGTTTCACCATGTTGACCAGGATGGTCTCGATCTCTTGACCTCGTGATCCACCCGCCTCAGCCTCCCAAAGTGCTGGGATTACAGGCTTGAGCCACCGCGCCCGGCTAAAATAGTGGACTTTCTAAATGAGCATCTCTTCTCTCTCACCGGTATGTAAGAGTCATGAAAGGTTACTTAAAACGAATCCTGTCTGCCCCCTTTAGAAATCACGCTTTACGCGGTAGGTAAGAAGCTAGTTTTAGGAGTACGTGGTTCTAAGGAGCCATTCGGGGAGAAAGCCCAGTGACTTACTTTAGGCACAGGCACATACACAGGTTGAACCTGAGGATCCAAAGGGGTGAAGAGCGACGCCAGCCGACCGTTGCCACCTCTGGAAGGGCGCTCGCCGCAGAATAAGCTACTGGCGACCTGTCCAACCTCGTAGTGCTCCGGCGGACTCCCGCGAACGCAGACTTCACGGTTCTGTCTAGAAACGGACGCCAGAACTCAGCCACGCCCCGCCCCGCCCCGTCCCGCGCTTCGCCAGCACGAGGGAACTTACAATATCCCTGCCCAGCTACTCGTCTCGCGCGCCACTCACCCCTTCCCGACACTTCTTTTTCTCTTCCGTTTGTTCTTCCCTTCCAAGGCCATTCTGACTTCGAGGCCTCCCAGATGGCAGCGGCGCTGGAGCTCGCACTTCCGGGTTCCGGGCACTTCCGCTTTGGGGCCACGCCCCCGCCTCTCCAGTCCATCTGGGGCCGGCTAGGCGCTGGAGGGAGGCGCTCAGGCCGGGGGCCGGTTTGTCCCCTTCGTTTGGTGATCCTCGTCGTTTCAGAGAAACCTCATTTTGGGAGTGAAGGACGTCTTCCGGGAGTGGTTCAAGCCTGCAGTGTGAACAATCAGCCAGGCTAGGAGCGGGGCGTCAACCCAAGCCGAGGGAGAAGCACGTACAATACTGACTTGTTGAAAAGGATGGAGGGGGCCAGGCGCGGTGGCTTACACCTGTAATCCCAGCATTTTGGGATGCCGAGGCGGGCGGATCACCTGAGGTCGGGAGTTCGAGATCAGCCTGACCAACATGGAGAAACCCGGTCTCTACTAAAAATTAACCGGGCGTGGTGGCGGTTGCCGGTAAACCCAGCTACTCTGGAGCCTGAGGTAGGAGAATCGCTTGAACTCAAGAGGCGGACGGAGGTTGCGGTGAGCCGAGATGGCGCCATTGCACTCCAGCCTGGGTGCCAGAGCGAAACTCCATGTCAAACAAACAAAAAACCAAGAAAAGGAAGGAGGGAGGTTTGGCAAGAAATGCGGTTAGGGGTGAACGCAATGGAGTGTTTACAACTGGCTAATCGCTATGAAGAATACAGAGTTCTTTGCACTCTTCTTGAAACTTTTCTGAAATATGACATTATCCCAAAATAAAGTTGAAAACAAATAGTTGGACGACCACAGCTCTAACGAATCACATCAACATGCAATTCGAAAGTTGCAATGCGACCCTGCTGTTGTTCTACCAGGAAAAGCAGATGCTTACATTCAAGGTGTTCTCAGCCCCTCCTCCCAGACTCATCTCCCTCCAGCCCCTGACATTCTAGCTTGCTTTTCCCACCACCTCTTGTTATTCCTATCCCCTCTGTTGTAATTGCCCTCCCCTTTACCCTTCTGCAAAATAATGCCCATCCTTCAAGGCCTAGCTCGGATACTGTCTAACTTAAGAACAGTTCTTTGCGGCCAGGAGCAGTGGCTCATGCCTGTAATCCCAGCACATTGGGAGGCTGAGGCGTGAGGATTTCTTTAGGTCAGGAGTTTGAAACCAGCATGGTCAGTCTAGTGAGACTTCCTCTCTACAGAAAACAAAAAAATTAGGTGGGCACTCTGGCGCTCAGTGCCTGTAGTTCCAGCACTTTCAGAGGCTGAGGCAGGAGGATCCCTTGAGCCCTGGAAGGTCAAGTCTGCAGTAAGCTGTGATGGTACCGCTGCACTCCAGCCTGGGCGACAGAGTGAGACCGTCTCAAAAGAAAAAAAAAAATATTTGCTATTTACAATAGGGATGTTATCTTTTCCCAAGCCCCCATGGTACTTACTATAATCATTTTTTATTATTATTTTTTTTTGCATTAGTGTTATTTACAGTCTCTTTAGATGTAAAGGCAAGACAGTAAGGATTATATGTCTTATTCGTCGTGTATGCTGTGTCTCCATTAACTGTACCTAGTGAATATTTGTTAAATTGACTTTTAGGGTAATAAAAGATTACTAGTTAAATCATTGAATAGTTAGGGTGAAAATAGGATTTGACTTTTTTTTTTTTTTTTTTTTTTTTTTTTTTCATTTTCTTGAGACAAGGTCTTGCTCTGTCACCCAGGCTGGAGTGCAGTGGTGAGATCATGGGTCACTGCGGCCTTGACCTCCTGGGCTCAAGCCATCCTCCCACCACAGAGTAGCTGGAACTGTAGGTGGCAGCACCACACCCAGTTTTTTTCTTTTTTTTTCTTTCTTTTGAGATGGAGTCTTGCTCTGTGACCCAGGTTAGAGTGCAATGGTGATAGCTCACTGCAACCTCTGCCTCCCAGGTTCAAGCAATTTTCCTGTCTCAGCCTCCTCAGTAGCTGGGATTACAGGCGCATGCCACCATGCCCGGCTAATTTTCGTTTTTGTTTTAGGAGAGATGGGGTTTCATCATGTTGGCCAGGCTGGTCTTGAACTCCTGACTTTGTGATCTACCTGCCTCAGCCTCCCAAAGTGCTGGGATTACAGGTGTGAGCCACCACACCTGGCCTTTTAAAAAAATTTTTAAATAGAAATGGGAGTCTCACTAAGTTGTCCAGGCTCGTCTTGAACTCCTGAGCTTGAGCAGTCCTCCTGCCTTGGCCTCTCAAAGTGTTGGGAGAGGCGTAAGCCACCGCATCCAGTCAGGATTTGACTTTGAGTCTTTTAGGGACAGCTTTGCTTTTTGAAAGCTGCTCCATACAAGTTGACTGGGAATATATGTGACTTTTACTGCCCCCTTCAGATAAGTTTATGAAAAAAACCAGTATTCAACTGATTGGCCCTGAATTTTGATAACTGGGCCCCTTATTTTGTTTTCCCATAATCTTGATCTTCTGATAGTTCACAAAGATGAAGAAAACATCCATACATGCATGCGGTACAACTCACATGTCTGTCCAACTCAAATGCCACGGTCCAATGAAGAAATTTCATTCATTTTTTCCTCACTTTTCCAATCAATCCCATTCCTTCTGTCTCCACTCCTAACATTATTCCAGTAATTGCCTCCTCTCTGGAGGATTGCAGTCTTACCCTATCTGGCCTCTCAGATGCTTTCCCTCCGCTCTTGCCTACATGTCCAGTTTCCAAGTGAATCTCCTTTCTATGTTGATTGAAGGTTTACAGCTCTTTCCTGGAACCATCAGTCATTGACTCTTGTACGCTTGTGCACTGCCACCTTTCAACTTATGCACTTGTTCTCCCTGACTACAATTTAGCACTTAATTTTGTTTTATTTATTTATTTATTTATTTATTTTATTATTTTTTTTTTTTTGAGACAGAGTTTCACTCTTGTTACCCAGGCTGGAGTGCAATGGCGCGATCTCGGCTCACCGCAACCTCCGCCTCCTGGGTTCAGGCAATTCTCCTGCCTCAGCCTCCTGAGTAGCTGGGATTACAGGCACGTGCCACCATGCCCAGCTAATTTTTTGTATTTTTAGTAGAGACGGGGTTTCACTATGTTGACCGGGATGGTCTCGATCTCTTGACCTCGTGATCCACCCGCCTCGGCCTCCCAAAGTGCTGGGATTACAGGCTTGAGCCACCGCGCCCGGCAATTTTGTTTTATATTACTTCCACAAATAAACCATGAAACTATTCCTCAGGAAGATTAGAGGAAGAATGGTGGGAAAATGGACTCACAAACAATGAAAGGAAGCAGATACTTTTTTTTTTTTTTTTTTTTTTTTTAGACAGTGTTTCACTCATTGCCCAGGTTGGAATGCAATGGCAGGATCTCAGCTTATTGCAACCTCTGCCTCCCCAGTTCAAGTGATTCTCCTGCCTCAGCCTCCCAAATAGCTGAAATTACAGGCAGACACCACCACGCCTGGCTAATTTTGTATTTTTAGTAGAGACAGCGTTTTTCCATGTTGGTTAGGGTGGTCTTGAACCCCTAACCGTAGGTGATCCCCCCATCTAGGCCTCCCAAAATGCTGTAATTACAAGCATGAGCCACTGCACCAGACCAGGTAGCAGATACTTATAGAAGAAAACAGTGTGAAAGACGCTGTGGTTGGAGATAGTTTTAAAATTATCTTCATTGCCATTCACTTCTGTTTATAACCATTTAGAGATCACTGACCTCTTTTGAGATTTTTTAAAATATAAGGACATGGTGGCGCAAGGTGGCTCAAGACCATCCTGGCGAACACAGTGAAACCTGGTCTATACTAAAAATGCAAAAAATTAGCTGGGCTTGGTGGCACATGCCTGTAGTCCCAGCTTCTCAGATGGCTGAGGCAGGAGAATTGCTTGAACCTGGGAGGTGGAGATTGCAGTGAGCTGAGATCGCGCCACTGCACTCCAGCCTTGGTGACAGAGCAAGACTCCGTCTCAAAAAAAAAAAAAAAAAAAAAAAAAAAACATACCACCTTAATATCTTAATTGTAAACTAACTTAGTAAAGTGTAGTTTAGGTGACCAGGAGTAGGCATTAGGTCAACTTCTACTACTGCGATAAAATTCTCAAACTCTCTTAACAAGCTAGGGAAGTAGGACAAAGAAGGCAGGCAGGACAGAGAAGCCCAAAGGTATAAATCTCAACTCCAACAAAATTTGGAATAATTTCCCCTACCTAGCACTGTTTCTGTAACATACTCAGTACATGATATTAAAAGTACCTTGGCTGGGCTCAGTGGCTCATGTCTGTAATCCAGCACTTTGGAAGGCTGAGGTGGGCAGATCACAAGGCCAGGAGTTTGAGACCAGCTGACCAACATGGTGAAACCGTCTCTACTAAAATACAAAAATTAGCCAGGCATGATGCGGCTCGCCTGTAATCCCAGCTACTCAGGAGGCTGAGGCAGGAGAATCACTTGAACCTGAGAGGTGGAGGTTGCAGTGAGCCAAGAGTGTGCCATTACATTCCAGTCTGAGTGACACAGTGAGACTCCATCTCAAAAAAAAGAAAAAAAAAAAACTAAAAAACTAGGTAAGATTGAAAACAGTAGGGTAAAGGAAGTTATTTAGACAGGTATTTCTTCACAGGTCAAGTTTTTAATATGCAAACACTGTGACTCTTAAAAATGTGCTATACATAGATTTTCCAAAATATATTTGGTTATAAATTCCCAGAGCATTTCCTGAGACCAGTGTTGTAGGAATTCATTTTGGAAAACACTGTTTCATAGATTTAAAAGCTCATCCCTTAAATGAATTTTTCTGAAAATATAGGGCCACCACAAAGAAGCGTTAAAAAATAGGTGTTTTGAGCTTTCTAGGCCTTAACAAAGTTTATTTCCTTTCTCTTTGTATTAAAGGAAGGGTTTTTTGTTTGTTTGTTTGTTTTGTTTTTTGTTTTTTTTCTGGTGGAAAGTCAATACATGGGACCAAAAAACTAGATTATAGATTTTTAGACGTTTGTGGCAAAGCAGTGTTTCTCAACCCAGATGCATGTTAGTATCACTAGAGACCTTTAAAAATTAAAGAT